TCCAGTTAAAGTAATGCAACTGCCCTTACACATGTCTACCTCCTTGCTGGACTACCCTATTATTTGTTCTTTTGATTTCTCTGCCTGCAACTTCCCAGTGGCTTTTGGCCTAGATCCAAACTTTCAAACCTAATATAAAGATACTGTGAAATGTCTCACCACGTTTTCACTAGGACATCTTCTATACTATGCGGTACAGTGTATTGACTTTTAATCAGTAAGCATTTGCTATCTTACCTGCCAGCTGAAATACCAGTGACTCAACATAATGATGACACTGGGGAGGTTGACTCTCTTGAAAGCTACCCTGAATACCACTCTGGAAATTGTCATCATCACAGTTGTTGCTTTTCTCCACATTATACCAACAGGACTATGAACAATGCCAGGGTAGTGACTTATGCTGTTGTTAGTGTAGCTGCATTAGTCTGTGCAAAGCCAATATAGACCATAGTAATCTCTCAATACCTGCATTTGTGATGAATGATTTACACATATAAAGCATTCACTAAACTTCAGCTGCTATGAACACAAAGCCCATCTCCACCTTCACTTCAGACTTTCAGGGCTGCAAGCTAAAGTATAGTCTAATCAGAGTTCAAAGCTGTAGATGAGCAAAAGGCCTAAATGGAAGTTCTGGTTGGAAATAATGGAGTGAAACCATTTCCACTGCTACAATATTCCAAAGTTGGATGAGCTGCAAGTACTTTGTCTAATATCAAACATCCAGGAGCAGAAGAATCACCCAGAAACCATGATGCTCCCATGTCTCTATTCTAAAAAATAAAATTACTCAAAAGAGAAAATTACAATTTTTGTGGTTCTTTCTGGGATGGTAAGTCAGAAAAATAGTTCATGAACCTCCATAGCATCAAGTACTACTTGGCAGAAATTTTTAGTCTAATGAGTTCCATAAATGATTCCTGTACAAAACATTTAAATTGTGCTTAAATCTATGTGGTCAAACTGATAGCCATATGCTGTGTGATTTCAAGTTAAAACGTGTGTAAGGAGAAAGGGAGAAACTTATTAAAGCAGATTCCAAAACCAAGTTTAAAAATCTGGTATTTCAAAACACTGAACACCAAACTTCCAATAGCAGAATTATCAGTTCTAGTGCTGATGTTTTACACCCTCACCAAGAATACACCCACAAAGCAATTATAAATTTAGAAATATAAAGAAAAGATGCAAAATTTAAACTACTGAACAACTTCCCATATAAGTCATATACAAGTTTTCAACAACCCTGAGTGTAAGTGATGAGTAATTGTAAATTAAAACTAAAATGCCAAAGAATAAGCTATGACTAAATTTATCACACCCAAACAGCTCTCAAAAACATTCATCAGTTCTTTGGGCTTCCTTTATTTAAAAATCTGTGGGAAACAGCAGGAGAGTAGATTCTAGAGTCCGAACAGAAGGATTGAGCATATTTCTTTGGCTCGTCAGCTCTACGTCCTAGGAAAAGGTCAAGACAAGCCTTGACATTTCCAGCTATAAAATGGAAATAACAGCATGTCTCCCTTTTGGAATACCAGAATTATTAAAGGTTAGTACATGGAACATGGGCCTACATAATTCTTTAAAAAGCATAGGCTGTCACTGTTTCTGAAAATGTGGCAGGCTACAATGGTGATAAAGGTTCCATGAGATTAAGACCTACATTATTATTAATTTTCACTATTATGAACTTTCTTCATTCAGAACAAGCATTTACAATTTTCCATAAATTTTCTAAGCCATATATTCACTAATGTTAATCTGGGTACTTCCTTTTATCTCCTCATTATATAAAGTTAGCTTTGCTTTTCTAACTTTATGTAACTAAAATTTATGCAGAATTGAATCTGTCTACACAGTATAGCTAAGGTAGTTTAAGAAATGAACTCATATTCATTGTTTTGTTCTGCCCATCGATCCAGTAGTTGCATAAATTATTCCAATTCTGAATTATTAGATGTGACATAAAATTAATTTTAGCCTAGACATGAAATGTAAAGAGCATATGACATTAGTATATTGCTTTATGAACCTTTTAGTGAGCAAGGAATGCAAATACTTAGTATTTTGCCAAACTCCTTGGTTTCAATTTTCCAGTGAATGAAGTAACTTAAAAAATTCAGAAAATATTGTGAAGACAGGCCTGAGTAGTCTGGCAGTCCCAACACTTGAATATTACAGTATATTAAACACTATTGCAAAAGTCAACTGACTATATAAAATATCACTAATATAGATTAATAAATATTACTGTTTTGCATAATTGAATAATAAAAACTATAATATGGGGACAAAGAGTTATTTTTAGGAAGTAAGAAAGCTAGGAGCAATGTTTAAAGTTATTGCTGAGGTGGGTACTAGTGCCCCCACCTATAATCCTAGCTTGACTCAGGAGGCTGAGATTTGAAGATGGTGATTTCAAGCCAGCCTGAACAAGAAAGTCCATAAGACTTATCTCTGTAATTAATCACCAAACAAAGCCTGAAAGTGGATCTGTGGGGCTAGTGGCAGAGGGCTAGCCTTGAGCAAAAGATCTCAGGGACAGTGTTCAGGCCCTGAGTTCAAGCCCTAGTATCTGCATACACACAAAATAAGTAAATAAATACATAAATACTGCTGACTTTCAGTTTTACTGCCTTTGGTAAGGTCATACAGTGAGTTAAATACATCTGTACAATACTAATTTACAGGTTACAACTTCCTGATCAGTTCTTTCAGTTTAGCCTCTCTTCATCTACTTCATGAATCAGGCTAATAAATCACTACACAATAATGGCCCTAGCCACTATTTTCTAGGCCCTCACTGTGTATCAAGATCTCTGCACAACGTTTCTTTTATATACTTTGGTTGTCTTTGTTACTAAACATCTTATTCCATCACCCTGCTAACCACTTAGCAGTTTATACTCATGTTCCAAGGAATTCTTGAGGTCCCTTTTTGAAATAGAAGCAGTGAATTTTATGGTCATATAATATTCTTTCTCATTGTTCAATATTAAATAGTTCAATATTAAAAACATAGATTAGAACTTGAAAAGTATTAATATGAGAGAAAGTTCACCTCTAGAAACAACTACAAAATAATTTTCTTGAAAGGAATGGAATAGTAAACAAAATGTTATTCTTTTTTTATTGTGAAAATACTGTACAGAGGGGTTACAATTCCATGAGCAAGATAATGAGTACATTTCTTATCAAGCAAGCATTGTTGCCTCCTCCTTTGTTTCCCCTTGCTATCCCTTGTAAAGTTCGTTTTTCGACATAATGACTTGTACATCTCATTGTTGCAATGGGTCCACCTGTATCCCTATTTAAATGATTTTGTTTTTTCCCTTCCCCTCCACAAATTATACCAACATCAAATACAGTGAAAGCAGGAGTTATACCATGGGGGAGGGACATACAAAGCAAAAATGTTATTCTATAATGTAGTTTGTACCACTCAACAAAAGTAGAACCCTCGAAGCAGGACTGCTAACTTTTCTTGCCCTGTCTATCTTTTTTAAATTACACAAATGCATTGTTCCATGATCATAAGAAATTCTCCATGGATTTCTATTCTCATTCATAATTTAATATCAACAATTCAGGGCTGGGAAGGTGGCTCAATGGTAGAACGCTTGCCTTGCATGCCTGAGGCCCTGGGTTTGATTCCCCAGCACCACATAAGCAAAAAGAAAAAAGCCGGAAGTGGCGCTGTGGCTCAAGTGGTAGAGCGCTAGCCTTGAGCTGAAGAGCTGAGGGACAGCGCCCAGGCCCAGAGTTCAGGCCCCACGACCGGACCCCCCCCATAAAAAAATCAACAATTCAATCAAGTATTTGTTTCTGTACATTAGAAATATGCATGGATGGGCCAGCTATTGATGACTCACACCTATAATCCTACCTACTCAGGGCAGAGACCTGGAGGACTAGGATTTTAAAGCTAGCTTGGGCAGAAAAGTCTAAGAGACATCTCCAATTAATCAGAAAAATGCTGAACTGGAGGTGTGGCTCAAGTGGTAGAGTTCCAGCCATGAGCAAGCAAGCTGAGAAAGAGCATGAGGCCCTGAGTTCAGCCCCAGTACCAGCGCAAAACAAATAAACCAGTGTATATGGTACCACAACCATTAGAACCTAAAACATGTCAATCATCCCTTAAAATAAAGACATGCTGATGCATAACTATATTCTTGGGTTAATTATTAATATTGAAATTTAGTATTAATTTTAGCAAGTGAGATTATTTCTACCAGAATCAACAATGGTAATGCAAATCAATGCTACAAAATATATACTAAGCATAATGTAAAAGAAAATGAGTCAAACTGCAACAGCATATATGACTAAATAAATAATAAACACAGAAATGAGAAGTACCAGCGGGGAAGAGGTAGAATATGGAAATCTTGCTGAAGAATTCTTTCCCTATGGTGAAAAGAAGTAACATGCCAGCTTCTGACCACAGACATGTTTATGTCATCTCTTAAATGCAGCTGACAACACAGCTGGTTCCATTCACTGATGACAAAAGGAAACAGGTGGAGAGACACGGGGAAAACTTATCAAGTATGTTCCCTGTAGTGAGCTGTAAGGAAGCCCACAGGGCACAGACTAGCCCTACGCAGCCTGGGCACTGATGATGCTTTGGAGGATGAGATGAGGAAGGGCGAAGAAGAGAAGTGACGTGGCAATTCTGATTCCACATTGACAATGAAAATGGGAAAATAAACCACAAGATGTTAACTTCTAAGAAGCTACCACCTGTAATGACAAAATTGTGATGCTTTGCCTGACTAACACTCCTCCAATACAGCACATCAGATAAGCACTGGACTTTCTATTACTTGGGCTCAACTGATCAAACAGATGTTTGCTTGTTTTGTTTCTAAGTCTGGAACTATGAATCTTTTTTTCTCAGGATTTTTTACCCTTTACAGGTTTATTACACAAAGCTAGTATTCATATCAACAACATTTGTAAACTAAAGCTACAATATAGCTAATGTAATGCCCTACCTGGTGGTACTTCCTGTTGATCTTCTTCCACAGGTAGGGCACTTACTTCTAAAAGAAACAACAAAGGCACAAATCATCACACATCATGGACTACCAGTATTTGTTATGGTTCTTATTTTTACAGACTTTCCTAAAAATTCAATTGCAAGTATCATAAAATTTAGGTTTTTATGCCACTCCAACAAAGAAGAGTTAGGTACAACTAAGCAAAAATGTGTATTTCTCAACTATTCTACTTTACAATGTGATCTTTCTAATTTCAAAATTCTGCTAGTTGCTCAAGAGATAGGTATTAGAATCTGGATTTTCACTGAAATTTTGAGCCCTGATTAATACACGAGCTAGGGAAAGACTTGTAAAACAGCCTTAATTTTTTTATTGGACAGCTTGTTCTTTTGGATGATGAGTTGGAACTCAGGACTTTGTACATGATTAAGTGTGTGTTCCACCTCCAAGCTGAGCTATACTGAAGCCTGGATCCTTGAAAAGTTTTTGCCTTCTAACTAGTTTTAACATCAATCATGAAATATAAAGGAATGACATTGAAATCCAGTATTGTCAAATGTTATCCTTAAGAAAATTATTTTTAAAAGGGAATCTCCAATTTGACTTTTTTTTTCTTTAATGCTAGGAATTGAACCCAGAACCTTGGATACTCACATGCTCTACCACTGAGCCACTCTTCCAAACCCTGAGATAACATATTTTAAGATTAATCTAAGACTTAGATGTAAACTTTAACCTTCTTGTCTCTTTCGTTGGTTGCTTCAACCCAATTACAGCAAAAGAGAAGACACATATTACCACCCAGCAGTGTAAAATGTATGATTAGATTTGTTCAGTGAGATTATATCACATATAAATATATTCAAACTTAACAACTACTTAACATTACCTTAATCTAGAGATTAAAGTGTTTCTTTTGCTCCTGAAGAATTATAAAAGACTTTGTCAAAGGAAGTATTTTTAATAGCATTATCTAAAATGCAAAATATGTGTGCAGTTAATCGTGTTTTTATATTAATTTGCTTCTAATTGTAAGAGAAACATGCTCAAAATGAAATACTGGCCATTTTTCACATAAAAGGAAACATAAAACATACACACAAATTCTCCCTAATCATTGCTCATGAACAACTTTTTCAATTATTTTCATCATTTATTATTACATTATGTTTTCATCTTCAGTCTTAAAAATATAATACTTCAATACTTTATCTGAAATTTTAAATGGTACATTGTTTATTTTGTAGCTAATCAGCTAGGAATGTGGCCTAGTGGTAAAGTGCACACCAACCATGCACTAAGCCCTGGGTTCAATTCCTCAGTACCATATAAACAAAAAATAAAAATAGCTAATCAGTTATATGAATACAACCTGAAAGACTTACGTATGTAGGTTACATTTTCTTGCCTCAGGTCTTTTTAAAATTTTTATTTTTTAACGTTTTTATTTTCTTCAAGCAGTTGTAATACAAGTTGCCATTCAACAAAACAATTTATGAATATAATGTATCTTGATCAATATAACACCTTTCAACATTCTCATCCATCCCTCCCCACTCACCCCTTCCCTCACTTTTTCTTCTCTTCTTGAAACCACCTCTTGTATATGGATTTTAGTCTCACAAACAGCTGTGGCCAAATGCAAAGGAGTCTTTCCAGTCCTGGGATTACTGAGCTGTAGACAAATCAATCTATTTCTACATATTCCCCCTTTTCCTTCCAGCACATTCTTCCCAGTTGGTTTTCATCTTGACTCATTGGTTCCTCATCTTCCACCCAAACTCAATGTTGGTTTTCCTAAGAGCTCGGTGCTAGAATAACCTCTCTGCTCTCCATTTCTGATTCTCACTGAATCAAACTCTACACAGCAATGCTCTTCAGAACATTCCTCCTAGAGAAATGAGGGATGGGAGGTGAGAGAAAATCTCAATGCACTCATTCCTGGTACATGATTACTTTAGCATGTACACAGCAGGCTCACAGTTCCTGTGCAGGAGTCTCCCCTGCCCCTGTCCACATGTATTTTTCCCCATTTCAGATCAAAGTATTGTTTGTTTTTTTTTTTCTTGCCACCTGCTTAACAACATAACAGACTCAATTTAACAACTGATTCCTGCCCACAATTAAGAATTTCTCACCAGATCACTTTCTCTGAAGTGGTCATCTTCTCTACTCAGGGTAACCTTCTGAACCCCAGCTGCTATTTTCATAGCACCATCTTATTGCCATCACTGATCTTTTCCTGATCTTTATCGTTCTGACCATTAGAATGCCAGTCTCAAGGAAAAGAGAAATTCTATCTCATTCAGTGTGTGTGTGTGTGTGTGTGTGTGTGTGTGTGTGCGCGCGCGCGCGCACGCGCACATGCGCGTGCAAGGTCTGAAAGCTTCCCTAAGCCTTTTTGCTCAAGGGTAGTTCTCTACCACTTGAGTCATACCTTTATTTCTGAATTTTTCATGACTAAGTGAAGATAAAAAGAGTCTCACAGACTTTCCTGCCTTTGAACTGCTATCCTTAGATCTCAGCCTTCTGAGTTGCTAGGATTACAGAGGTGAACCATCAGCACCTGGCTTTCTTCATTCATTTTAATACTCCTAGTTCCCAAGCCCTGTGAGACAGCAAATAGGAAGTACATAAATACTCATTGAATGATGCAATGCACTTTAAATGCGGGATATATTTCTATAAAATTAACTTACCTTCCTGAACCACATTTGAATCTTCTATAACATTGTCTAAAAAATAAAAGCAAACACATATTACACTGACTTACTTCCATTTATATCTCAAAAGTAGCTAATCTCTACTTAGATATCAATGTGTTTTTTCTACTGGGTTTTAGTATAGAGACACTCATGACATTTATGCTAGAAACTCAACTTTAATTTGTAAATAAAATCTGCACCATAAATATGAAAGAAATATATAGTTGGCCCGCTGTTTCCCATCCACTGAGTCTGAGTTCATAGATTCACCAAAGATTGAAAACAGAAAGAAATTAGTGCATCAGTACTGAATACACAGACACATTCTCTTGTTATTATTCCTTACCCAACACAGTATACATACTGGAATAGCATTCACATTGTATCATGATTCTAAGTAATCTAGATGTGATTTAAAGTAAACAGGAGGACATGCGTAAGTTACCTTCAACTATACCATTTTATGTAAGACACTAAGTGACCTCATATTTTGATATCTGTAGGGCATAATGGAACCAATCCCACTGCAGATACTGAGAGGCAATTACATTGACACCGCTCAATTGCTTTCTCAGTGTCTTGAACAGGTCATGTATTTCTTAGTATATCTATTTTTTGTCCATAAATTAGAAGACTTTTAACAAATGGGAGTAGAAATCTGCCTAAAATCCCCCTAACAACAAAGAAATGAACTCACCTGAAATTTCTATCTTTTCATTTTCTGAAGGTTCATATACTATAAAATAAACAGAACACAATCCTTTAGCATTGTATAACTTTCCTTATAATAAAACAGACAACACATTCCTGGGTAGTCTTAAATACTAGAACCACCAGACTTACTGAGAAATGCAGATTACAGAGCAGGGCAGGAGGCATTTAGTCAAGTGAAATAAAACACGCCTGGATTCAAACTCCAGGTCAGTAACTGTTCATCAACAACGGGTGGTAATTTCCCCTATACAATGGGGGAAATGCAAGGTACTCCCCCCAATCACTCATTAGCATGATTTAATCATTCAGTGATACTAATTTCCCTTTTGTTCCTTAAAGCTTTTTTCATAATTGTAATGTTTAGAGCCAAAACCTTGTCTGGCATCACCTTGGACCCATTTGTAGCAGGCAGATTCCTATTCTGTGCATGGGCCAAGTCTAACTAGCTAACTTAGAGAGAAGATCTTGGCTGCTGGCATCTTAGAAAGGGTTGGTGGGCAGGTCCTTAATTCCTCATGAATCAGAAACCTCCATCTATTCTGCTGTAACCTACTAACACAGGCTCTAGACTTTGTCTTCTCTGCTACAAAAGAAACAAGCCTAGTGTCCTTGCAACCTTGTCCTTCGTTAAGTGCCTGGCACTTGTCACAATCAATTAGATCTTCCAAAATCTCTTCAATTTTCTGGTACATTAAGAGCAAACTTTCTTAATTTCGTCTTCATTTAATAAAGAGTATTTTTTATGAGTACCTATTCGTATTTTTGGAGGGGGGAGGACAATCCTGCGACTTGAACTCAGGCCTACGTACTGTCCCTGAACTTTTTTGCTCAAGGCTAGCACTCTACTGCTTGAACTCCACGTTAGGGATTTTTGGTGATTAATTTGAGCTAAGAGTTTCATGGACTTTCCTGCCCAGACTAGCTTCAAACCATGATCCTCATATCTCAGCTTTCTGAGTAGCTAGGATTATAGGCGTGAACCACTGGCAACTTTCATATTTTTAATAACACATTAAAAATGTTTATTTGGGAAGGGAGGAATGAGAGGGAAAAAGGGAACAGCTTACACTAGGCAAAAGGAAAGAAATGTAAACATTACCTGATGTAGAAGAAATAATTGTATTGTCAAAGTTCATAGAAGTCACAAACTTTATAGACCATGATAATGACAATTTGCCTTGTGAAGGTTAAAATGTGTTTGTGACTTTAACTAAGAATCACTATTGCACAATACTGTGAAATATGTGAAATTTATATAATCACCTAATCTCAATTAAAGAAAAAAGTGAGAGAAGGGATGGATTAGGAGTGATGGGTGAGAATGTTGTCAGACACCTTGTATTCATACACTGTTTTGTAGCATGGAAACGTCTTTGTACAACTACTTAAAGATAATAATAATAAATGTTAAAAAAATTTATTTCTTGTAACTCAAATATTTGAAAAGTAGTAACTATCTAAAGTCATAAAACTACCCGCTATTTTCTTTACATCCCATCAACTCATTCTATTTCATCTCATGGCCTTTACCCTTCTAAAACATACAACAAGGCTAAAGACTCACTATTGCTTTTTGGGGTATAGTCAAAAAGAGAAACTTCAATAGTGGCTCAATGGTAGAGTGCTTGTCTCGCATGCATGAGGCCCTGGGTTCAATTCCTCAGCACCACATAGAGCAGAAAAAGCTGGAAGTGGAGCTACAGCTCAAGTGGTAGAATGCTAGCCTTGAGCTGAAGAGCTGAGGGACAGTGCCCAGGCCCAGAGTTCAAGCCCCACGACCAACCAAAAAAAAAAAAAAAAATACAGTAGATAGAATCATTCAAGTACATTTGAACTACACATCTTCCTTATAAGGTACTGTTATCAAAGTAGGAAGCAGAGATTCCCACTCCATACCCTCCTCCAGGTGGGAAAAAAAAGAAAGAAGAGAGGAAAAAAAAAGGAAAACAGAACTTATATCATGAATAGGCCATTCAAAATGATTAGTGTATATCCTACATAAGATAGCTTTCTCAGCATGATGCATTAAATTACCAGTTAGAGAAAACTGTGTTAAAATATACACCTAAACTGACTATCATAATTATTCCCTATTGTAGCATTCTCAGAATTCCTGACATACGTAAATAAATTCAAATAACCATTTGAAGGGTACAGTTCCTGAATCATTCTGAATTTTGTTTTCAGACCAGTATCTCTTAGCCAAGAGTGTCTTTTACTGATGAGATATCTCAATTTTGCTGATAACTAACAATACTTGACTCTTCTCTGCCTGCCATGTGTGGGCTCCTGGAAAGATCCTTTTGCTTCTGTCCAGTGAGCACCTACTACTTTTTAGATATTTTTGGTATTGGGGTAGAATCATTTTGCTCTTTGGTGGCTTTTGGAAGAAGGAGCACAAGATCGGTACTCACTTTTGTCATTCTCAAGTAGACTCAATAAACACATGCTGCCCTCAAACCCTCAGCCAACTTTTTCTCAGGCCTGCTTCCCTTCACCCTCCTGTACAATCTGATTTCTTCAGAGTCATTGACATGTGATATTGCCTCTCCTCACTTCTCCTCCTTAACCCACTCCCTTCTGTCTTCCAGCCTGGAAGGCTCAGGCTGAGTAAGGCAGCAAGTCCTCATTAAATCTATTCAGTGCTTTCTAACCCTGTCATATCTGAATGGTTTAGCAACAGACCTAAGCCCAAACTCTGCCCTGGACTTCAGTGAGACTAGACTCTGTTTAGTGTTTTCTTTCTTTCTTAATCTTCTTTATCATTTTATCCTTTACTTGGCAGAAGTTACTTGTGAGATTTCTTCAAAGTCTAGCCATACCATCTCCTCTGGACCCATTCTATCTTCTCTCATGGAACCTCAGAGTTTGACTCCAATGAGAACATAGAAGGGATCATTACCACACCCATACCAGGTGCTTCTCTTCTCTGATGTGAATCCTACCATGATGCCTATTTGATCTCCTCTTGGCTGTCTCAAAGCCACCTTACTTATCAATATGCACAGAGTTGGGCTCAGGACCTCCAGACCTTTGTCTGTCTTCAAATCTCTCCTATCTTAGGGAAAATGCACCACCATCCTTAAGCTTGCTCTTTGTCTGTACTTGCACATCAAGCTCTGCCAATTTCACCTTCTAGACATTTCTCAGCTTTGTCCATTCCCCTCAAGCTTCACTACACTACACTAGCTCTGGTTTAAACTCCTATCAGTTCTATCCCATTTATCCAGTGAAAAACTTCTTGCCAAAGTCACCTGTGAGAGCATGTGCTCTAGACCACAGGCATGTTTTCTGTGATCACAACATATGGGTCTCAGTACATGACACCACTGAGCAATCCCTTCATGAAACTTATCTCCTTCAGCTCCTCATTGGGCAAGAGATATGACTCAAGGACAAGTCATATCTGGATGACTGTGTTAGCTAGCTGGCACCGCAGATCTATTCTTATCTTTGTCTTCAGTTTGTTACATGTTGGATCTGTTAACCTGTTCAAAACACAGATCTGATGTTTCAATGCCTTGCAGGGTGGCCCATGGGGAAGGTGAAGCCCTCCACCTCACTGACAGAAGTCTGGACTTGGACCACCTCAGGCACATCTCTGTTCTTACTGGCAGTGCACCTCAGAAACCCCATTTACTGTCCATCCACTCTCCTTTCTCACCTCATCAATGGCCCAGATCTTCACTAGCCTCACCTATAAACCAAGTAGTCCTTTTATTACAGACCCTTGTTACACTCTATACTGGTTCCCACAGCACTTATCATAACTGTAACTGAATGTTTACCCTGAAATTATTGATTAATTTCTGTCTCATGATAAAACATATGTCCATGAGAGTCCAGACCTTGTGGTCCTTCACTAGAGTTGTTTAGTATTCTCTGTGTTGGACACAAAATACTCCATGAGTCACATAAGAACAAATACATCAGATGGTAAGACTGTACCATCATTCCCCAGCTTAGTCCAATGCAGCATCGGGCTTTCTAAGATATATTTGATGTGGGAAATTGGTATGATTTTGTTCAACCACATGTTTTCCAGGTTCTGGAGTTGGAGTTTCACATAGAATATCTTCTGTTCTCCCAGTGAAATGGGGCTTTGTTTCTACCCCATTTACACTGTCCTTTATATGCCAATTGCTTGGTTTCCATGGTCTGGTTTCTGAATTTCTGCAGATCTATTTTTCAGTATAAAGAGAATAGTCCTCTGTTAGAGTTTATCTACTTTGAAGACTAAACTTTAGAACAAAGTCTCAAATATCCTACCAAATTATGATGAGTCCTTTATATTATATTCACTTCCCTTTAATATTTTGAGATACATTTATTATTATACTGTACCTATGAAAATATATGATTTAACAATATCCTTTTTAGCATGTTATTTAATTTTTACGCTTACAAGTTGAGTCAAGATTCTGTTTGAATTGCATTCCTGAAATTGCATTCCAAATGTGTTCTAATATATATTTAAATTATTTCAATGATTGACAGACATAAGTATTTAAAATCCTATTTCTGTATCAATTTTAATTTCTAAATCCCAATTTGCCCTACCTAGTCAAAGTTGAAAATTTAAATGCAATCTCAGTGGCCAAGTTCTTTAACTTCTTATTTAAAAAAACATATTGTAGGTGAGTACAATCTAGAATTCTTCTAATGGTATCATGTATGCCCTGTCTTCCATATTCAATACAAGCTCATGTTATTTTCTCATTTTACTTCATAAGCAAAGTTACACTCAGCTGGCCCTTTCTTTTGACAATCACTTTCAAAGACAATATAGTTAAAATGCATCAATCAAAGGCTCTATTTCCCAGTCTTACAATTTTGGGCCAATTATTTACCTTCCCCAAACCTTATTTCTTTCACCTGTGAAGAGGGAGCCTATAATCTGCTTTATGGAAAAGAAAATGCTTGGAGACAAAAGCAGCTACAATGCCTGAAATGGAAGTGGGTACTACCCATGCTGTGGATTTGCCAGGCTGCTTTTTCAATGCTGCCATAAAGCCAAGAATCCAATTCATCTTTTCCTTCCCTACATGGCCCATCAGTCACCTCTGACTGTGGCACCAACTGACTGTGGCTCCAACTGGTAGAAACAATTAGTATAGTTAATGTCTGACTATACAAGTTGTTCATACATATCTTAGTCAAAAGAGAAAGAGAGAGACTAGGGATGCACAGGAACATAAGGAAAAGACTGACCAAATGTAGTCATAATGTTCTATGTGCACTATGTAAAAAATGAACCATATAACTTGAAGACAGAGGAGAAAATGGGAGAGAATAAAAGAAGGGTTGATATTGACTAAAGAAGCAGTATACTCATAACCTGACTTATGGAATAATAATCCCTTTATACAACTACATAATAATAATGAGAGAACAATTCATTTTTAAAAAGGACAAATTATAAAATAATGAGACCAGTGTTTTGAATAATTTGTAACTGCAATTTATAAAAAGCTGGAGAAATAGTTTGGGCTATGGAAGAACCACTAGAACAGTTAAAAGAATCTGCTCAAAATGTGATTCTTTGAGAACAGCTCTTCATTTGGATGATCTCAATTATACTATTTACAGCTTAAAACCCAATTCTCGATATCTTACAGTCAAATTGACATATATGATTTAGATTTTTAAAAATTTATTGTAAAGGTGCTGTACAGAGGGGTTGTATTTACATAAGTCATCATGAGTGTCACCCCTCTCCTTCATTCACTCCCAGTTGTTTCCCTCAACTTCCTTCCTCCCCACACTTCACTGTATAGCTCATGTCCAACATGGTATCTAGGCAAACTGATATATATATATATATATATATTTTAAGACAAATAGGTGGGATAAGGCTAACAAACACTTGCAAACCTGGTTCATCTTGGTATGCTGGAACATCATCTGCAAGAAAGAGAATCAAAATGAAGTAAATCATTAAACAAATCACTGAAGCTTAGCTTAAAAAAACAAAGAACACCCTAAACACTAATTTCTATTCCTTTAAACATTAGTATACGCATAAGTAGTAATAAATTCTTCTGCCTAAAAGCAAAGAAAGGGCAAATAAGTTATTTTTATAAAAGTTCCTCAAAGCAAGATACAGAATATTAGCATTGGGACTTAATATGCCGTTCTGTCATGGAGCATTTGTTGGTAGACAGGTAGAGACAAAGGTAGATTCCTAGATGCTCTTTTACAAGGCTAATTTTATTACAAGATAAATTGTCTTGCTAAAATTGCCTCTTGACCTCTTTGAAGGGAAAACTACCATCTAAACATAGTACTACACTCAAAAATCTAATAAAAATGTTCATCCAGTACCTGTGGTAGGGGACAGTCTGTCATCATCTGCAGCTGGCTCACTGGGAACTAAAAAGAAAAAATATACCTTTCACAACATGAAAAGCACCAAACACAGCAACAGACACCATTTCCTGATGCAATATGTATTGCTAGACTACATAACTTGTAAAGCACATACTATTAGTACCATTTAGTAAAGTGTAAGCTGAACAAAGTTCTTTCTAGTACAGTCTAAGTTGCAAAGAAGGATTTTTCAGCAATGAGATTTGTACCCAGCCTGACACTAATAAACTATATAGGCTCCTCAGTTTTCAGCATCCTACAAAGACCAAAGTCCCAATGGGGATATCCTCTCTTTCTTCTTCATATAATATTAACTGTGCTTAGCGATTTACAGAAATATCTGATAAATCAAAAGTGATTAAAAATACTCTGAAGAAATCTCTGTTATGGAAGTGGAGCCAGCTGTTTACCCTGAGTTAAAATAGCCCTGGTTACTGATTCAAACAGAAATTCTTACAAATAATTTTTATAATCACAAACCTGGGATTTCCTGGTTATACATCATCTCTTCCATATCTTGATGATGGTCTTGTGAAACTATAAATTAGGAAATAATTAGGAAATTAGTGATTTCCCCATGTTTCTCTATGAGTATTCTAAACTAGAAATTCACATTTCCTGATAAGGACAGAAATGTCTAGTCAAATCACAGATTATCAAGCACATTAACTCTTAGCACCAATAGAAAGAACTGTGCAGAATGCAAAGTAAAAAAGAGAATATGGCAGTTTTACATATAATGTAAAATCTGACATTAATGTAACCACCAAACAGTAGTTATATTCTCATTTAATATATTTAGATGAGTTAGCAAATGAAAACAGAGAGACAGAGCCAAAGAGCAATTGTGGGTGAGTTGGCCTCCTGCCCAAGCAGGAGTATCTACCGCAGAGAGGCCCTTTGAGTGACACGGGGCCCAGTTCTCACCTAGACTCCATACTCGAGTACTCTATATGGCCTAGCTTCAGACTGTCATATAGTTCTTATTTACAGGTATATAGTGCTGAAGCTACACAGCTCTTAAATGTCACTATGCAATACCATGTGGTGTTCAAGCTTGGAATGCGTCATCTACTCTTACAGGAAGGAAAACTAGCCAACAATACAAAATGATAATCTGTGAAAGTATTCATTCTAATTAAGAAAAACTGATATTAAGTTAAAATCTTACCTGTCTCTTCTACAGAGAATCTATCCTCAGTTTCTGAAAAAAAAAATTAAGACTGATAGTACTACTTTCATAAAAATCATTTCCAAACACACTGTATATGTCCATTCTGAATAATGTTAATCATTGATTTTTAGAACCAACTAGCCACAAAAACATGAAAATATGAGTGCATGTCCATTTAACACTTTATCATCCAACAGCACAATGAAATGATTTTCACATTCTCTCATCTGATCCCTGTAACAACTCTACAAAGTGGTCAAACACCAAACTCTGTTGTTTTTTGGTTTTGTTTGGCTTTTTTTTGGTTGGTTGTGGGGCCTGAACTCTGGGCCTGGGTGCTGTCCCTCATCTCTTCAGCCACTTTCGGCTTTTTCTGCTTAAGTGGTGCTGAGGAATCAAACCCAGGGCCTCATACATGCAACCGCTGAGCCACCTTCCTAGCCCTAAACCCAGTATTTAGAGAGGACAATTAAGGTAGGGAGACACCATAACAAAAGCTGGATTCAGGAAAAGTTAATTACTATTTTACCTCACATTCCATTGTGCTGTCCCATTTTCTAGCCCTGTCCTATCATTTCCTATAGTAAAAATACAGGGTCTACCAATGGGAACAGAGGAAGTATGAAGTAGAAGTTATGTTTTTGGAGCTAAACAGAAAATGTGTTGATTACACACATTTCTCAGCAAAAGTGCTGCCACCACACAGTCTGCCATGCTTCTAAAACCTTTCTCACGTTTTAAAGTATTTGAGGATCTTAAAGAAAATTTGTTGTAAAAGCGGCACCATTACAAAATTCTGTGCCATAATGACCAAAGATAGGAAACAGGAACATGAAAAATCATTTACCAGTATCCTTACTCAGAAATTACGAAATTTTCCCACCAGAATCACAACATAAGTAACTATTAAAGCTCTAAGAACCTAAAGCTAGTCTGTAACTATCTATGTGCAATGTAAATGCAGGTCTAAAAGTACATACATGCTCACAGCACTTTCTTTGCATTTTCATACACACAAAATGCATGCAGTATATAAATTCTGTAGATTGCCATGACACCAAACCATCACTAATATCACTACTTCTATGGGAAAGTGCATTTCCTTCTCTTATCAACAGGCACAGATATAAACTTTCAGAAATAAATCTATTCATCAAGTATAGGTGCCCACTTCTAGAGGAATTCTACAGTATGTGAAGTATGAGAAAGAATACTGAAACCCCACTTTTTCATGATTTTTATGCTTTAAAAAAGTTCTTGCAATCTTTCAGAGCTATATTGCACAGAATTTTATAAACAAAGAATGCATCTTACCCATTAGATATTGCCAATAATTACTTTTGCACTATGACAGCAAAGTTTAACATAGCAAGAAAAGCTGAATGTGCTACAAAGCTTAAAATATTTATTGTATAACAAAAAAGCTTGTCAATGTTTGGTATAGAAGCTATGAATTGTACTCTACCCATAGTAGATAGAGATTAAGTGTAGTAGTTCACCTATTGCTTGAATATAGTAGAACAAATGACATCTGACATTTCTTATTGCTGTAAGAAATTTACATACTGTTTTCCTTGTGCTTTGAATCAAAATCACTGAGAGAAAATTTCACTTTAAAGCTTTAAGCTTTGCCATCAAACAAGTTAAAGTAGTATCTGAACATTTAAACAATGCTGGTTCTTAAAGGGGTTTAAGAAAAATTTCAGTAACTACAATTATTAACTGTGTATTGTATTTTATCCTGAAGCCAAATAAATATATTCTACCTTCATAAAATGTTCCAGGTTCCAGGTTCTGCACCCTATCATCTATATCAGTTGCTGTAAGGACATCATCATACTCTGGTTGTGGTTCTCCTGCTGCTCCATCTGCTTCTAGCTGCAGGTCATCTACACAAGGACAATGAACACATTGACACAGGTAACAAATGGTCAAAGGCAGAAGCCAATTTAGACAGGGACTTTTCACTTGAGACATTACTGTTCAGTCGTCTTGCTGTAGCCCACAGCTAAGGGCAGAAGCAGCTGTCTACATCAGCAATATGAACCTAAGGAGTATAGGCACTTCATGTAGCTCTTAAGTGCAATACATTTTAGGAATGAATAGCTGAATTCATAATTGTTTCTTCACTGATCTCTTGGTCAGAAGAATGGTCACACCAAGACCTTTCACTGAAAACTGACATAGAACTCCATGTAATGGTTTAAAATGACTACTCAGATATAACGTAAAAACAGCTGGCCACTGATGTTTATCACATACAGACCATGAATACACCTGTACTACACTCTGTACCTAAGCTGCCCTGCTTGGTCTTTAGTTACACAAAGATGCTCACTTTCTTTTCTTCAATGATCTTTCATGATATACTGAGTATTTTGTTTTGTGTGGATGTTGGACATGCTAATTAATCTGTCAATTCGATTATTATCACAACCCCTCCCCCCTAAAAACAAAATCATCCCTCTAGTAATGACACATAGTTTCCAGCAGAGAATTTCCTGTTAAAACACTAAAGAACATGAGGGAGTCAAACTAGGCTGGACAGTACATTACAGTGATTAGGACTCTAGAGGCTAGAAAGTGGCTTCTTCATTTAGGCTATTCTAAACCAGCTGTGTGACTGTACGCACATTACCAACCTGTTCTGTACCTGAAATTTTCTTTCCATAAAATAGAAATAGTAAATGTATATTTATAACAATGCTGTGAAAAGAAAAACTTAGAAAAATGCCTGATCCATTATAAGTAGGTAGGTGTTTCTACCATTACCACAGTAATTTCGGGTTCTACTGAAGTTTCCATGAAATTGTCAGAAGCCGTTGGCATGGTGATACTCTCAGGTGTTCCTTACACATGTAGACCTATGAATGTAGGTATGATTTACAGGCCTCTACCTCCTTATGTATCAGTTTTGTGTCATTTCAATTACCCAGGATCAATCACAGTATAAAAGTATCAAATATAAAACTTACAGAATAAGTTATAATTTCTAAACTCTGTGCTGTACTGAGTTACGTGATGTAATCTCCCTCTCATCTGAGACAGGAAATCTCCCTTTGTCTAATGCATGCATGTCTCTGCTATCCACTCATTAGTCAGTAGCCATTTTGTTTAATAACAGATTGACTACCACAGTATCACAGTGTTTGTGCTCTTAATTACCTTATCTTACTTAAATGTGGACCCAAAGCACAAGAGCAGTTGTGGCTTCAAAAGAAACCATAAAGAGCTTTCTTTAAATGAACAGGTGAAAGTACCCAACTTAAGAAAAATACACTGAGATAGTGATATTTAAATAAAATTTTCCAAGAAATTTATGATAGTTTTGCTGTCTCACTTCAAAGTGTTAAAGTTATAGCCACAGTGCATGAGAAATATATATATATGCACATATATATATGTATGCATACATATACATATATAACACTCATATGTAGATGTTTAGATCTATGATTTCAGGTACTGTGAACTTCTTTACCCATATTACTCATAAAGAAGGGGGCGGGCACACCATTTCATGATGCCTTCCCATCACAACCTCTCATATTTTTCTGCTTATTTCAGATTGTCTGCTTTTCTATAAACAAGTCACTCAATCTGTAATTCCTACTTTTTCTTGTAACCATATTTCTGTTTCATTATTCTCCTTCATTCTCTCCAGGGCAGCTTACAGGCAGTCAACAGAAGTGTCTCTGGGTTTGGTAGGGAACCTGCAATGCACTGTCCACTGTCCATGGGTCTCCACTGCTCAGCCAGCAACACCACACCTGAAGACACATCCTGAGGCTCACCCGATCCACATGCTGCCGTGTCCTCTGCACTCACTCTCCTGTGCAGGTGATACTGTGGAGTTGCTCTGGAGGATGAAGCACTTGAGGCACTCCCCTAGCTGCCCAGCTAATAAATGGCTATAGGCCATGAACCCAGGAATGAAATGCATGATACCAGGGACCAAGAAACCCAGTAACGAAATGCATGATACCAGGGAGCAGGAGGCCACACTATTCCTAAGAAGATGAAACAGAGGTGGGTAATACCTGTCAACAGACAATATAACAAGTTGAAATACCAGTGAAGGGTATTATAAGAAAAAGAGAGAAGGCTAGCTGGACTAGAGGAAAAGACTAGCTGGGCTGCATCAACCATGGTTTATTAGGGAGCAAGAACAGAAACAGAAACCCAGATGGATGCCACCACAGGGTCATAGCAAGTGGTGACAGTCATAGCTGAGGTACTGGAGAAGCAAGATCTATTGTAAAGGCAATGAGGCAATACTGACAGAACTTGCTTGAGGATTTGATGTGAAGGAAGAAGAGAATTCAGTCAACTGCTGAGCTTTTCGATGAAGAAACTATACAGGTCACATGTATTGAAATGAACTCCAGGAGATGGAAACAAAATGTTTTTTTTTCTTTGCTGCCATTTTTGTTTTCATTTCCTTTTGTCTTGTTTGTTCATTTACCTATCTTTGGGATGGTAATCGGGGACATAGAAATGGTGACACAAAAGGTGAACTAATGCAGCCATAATACTCACTAGCCATTATGTTGAAAATGAACTATATAACTTGTGGGTGAGGATGGGAGGGAAAAACTGGGAGAGAGCAAGGGGTAGGTGTGACATTGCTCAAAAAGAAATGTTCTCTTTATCTGACTTACATAACTGTAACTTCTCTGTACATCACTTTTACAATAACAATACATAAAGTTAAAAAATTATACAAGAGTAGCAAGACCATTAACAAAAATACTAAAGACTAACCTAACTTCAGTGTGGGGCAGGGGTGAGGAGCTGTGAGCGGTGCAGGCCTTCCGAGTAAGGCGCATCTCAAGGTTGAGCAACCCACAGGACATACCCATGGGGAAGGGTCATGGGTGTTTGGGGATGGCTGTCATCAGGGCTGCAGCCACACACACAAAAGACATGGCATAAAAATGATACTTAAGAGCCAGGCACCCTAGCTCATGCCTGTAATCCTAGCTACTCAGGAGGCTGAGATCTGAGGACCACGGTTAAAAGCCAGCCCAGGCAGGAAAGTCTGTGAGACTCTGATCTCCAATTAACCACTAGAAAACCAGAAGTGATGCTGTGGCTCAAGTGGTTGAATGCTAGCCTCAAGCTGAAGAGCTTAGGGACAGCGCCCAGGCCCAGAGTTCAAGCCCCACAACTGACCAAAAAAAAAAATGGTACTTAAGAGCTATGGACTCTCAATATAGTCATCTCAGGCAACAAGTGTTTTGAAGGTATTCAATCAGTGAGATAGAGAGAAGAGAGATCAAATTGGGAGTCTATTAGAAAGCCAGCTACTGCAAGTGGACTCATGTCCAAAAGCACTTGCAGTTCCAAATACAGCTAGCACAAACTTTATAAAGACAAAAGAACACATCAAGGCAGATGTCACGTGGTATGAGGACTAGCAAAACAGGTTTTACTGAAGCAAAGGAAGATATCTAGAGGGAACAATCAAGGGCCAGTTGTCTAGGGGGAACAATCAAGGACCACCAAGGACAAGTATTCTCAGGCTCAAAACTTTCTTAGATCTAAATAACCCACGACACATCTGCAATTCAGAAAATGACCTATAACACCTCTAGAGTGCTTAGTAAACCATAACACAACTGTAGTTCAAAGAATGACCTATGTAACCTCTGGAGTTCTCAGAAAAAGTCCCCATCATCTACTAAGATGCCAAGAAGGCAGTGAGGACAAGATGGAGTTACTTAGAACCAGTATCCATATTTCAAAGGTCTCTGTAAAGATTAATAGGGCCATTCCTGACCAGAATGGATGAATTCTTTTTCAATTGAGTTACCCACCCTGACTGGCCTTGGTACTTTCTGTGACTTTCCACTTCTCTCCATACCCCATCTTGAAACTGAGTTTGAGGAAACATCTTTACTACTTGTGTACCAGTATGACCTTTTGACTACCCTGCTGCACAGGGGCCTCATCCTTCCCATTTATCAGGCAAAATGCAGGAACAGGCCTAAGCATCCCCAATGGCTTTGATTCCTCTTAGATTAACGCATCTTTTCCTTTCCTCATTCTCCACCTCTTCAGTCCATGTGCCTGCCATTCTGAACAACTTTCAGTGATGCCACTGGCCTTCCACACACATGGCTTCCTCTGCTTACAACATTGCCCAGGGTGAGCTCTACTCAATCCTTTCCTCCTACATGAAGAAGACATTTCCTGCAGGAAACTACTTCTGAGTTCCATGTCCAGTACCCCGCAGAGTATCCTGTGTTTCACTATGAGTTCTCACTAAAGCAATCAGCAATTACCGGTTTAAAGAAAAACTGCTGCTGGAATAGGTAGGTCTCACATGTTCATGTGGGCATTTATATTCTGGTGTGGCTGTGAAGAATCAGATACTAGAGGGACATAAGCTTCTATACCCTAGCAGCCATCAGTATAATCCAGCTTAAGTGGCAGAGAATTGTTTGTTTTTATGGCACATACTTTTCCCTTTAGGCCTAGCCTTGAATCATAACAAACCAACAGTAGTTTCATATCATAGTGTTCTGTCCTTCATATCTACTTCATGGGTTTTATTTGGGGGCTATGCTATCTGCCTTTATTGAGGGTTGCTTAAAGAAATAGCTTCATACACTTATTGCTGGACTATGATTTAATACTCTATAAAGAACTCGATGGGCTGGGAAGGTGGCTCAGTGGTAGAGCATTTGCCTTGCATGCTTGAGACCCTGGGTTCAATTCCTCAGCACCATATAAGCAGGGGAAAAAAAGCCGGAAGTGGCGCTGTGGCTCAAGTGGTAGAGCGCTAGCCTTGAGCTGAAGAGCTGAGGGACAGTACCCAGGCCCAGAGTTCAGGCCCCACGACTGGACCTCCCCCCCCCCAAAAAAAAGAACTCGAATTCCACCTGAGTTAGAACTAAGTGCTGGGAGAATGCTTTTATATTTTCTACATAAGTAGCACACTTTATACTTCTCTGGTAATACAACCTCTAAGTTTGCCCTTTTTGCTTTGGAGATCCAGCCAAGTATGAAGTCAAACACACACCTGGGGTGAGGATGAAGACAGCTCTTAAGTGAGCCACCATAGTCCACTGGCTTATGTTCTTTACTATGACTCCAGACTGTTCTTCACAGTTCATTGGTCCTATTTATCCTAGTTTATTCATGCCATCTTTGTATTAAATGTGTTTAGTAAGGAGAATGAAGTACATCTACTAATATTTCAATGACTTGGAAAAAACTGCAAAACCCATTGAAATATACAACTAGCACGTTAATTTTTAAAAGAATCCAAGTAATTCTATGTAAAGATTTTAGCAATTCATGACAGTATAGTATAATTTAATCCATACCATGATCTGTGTGTACCGTTTCATGGAGAAGAGACTGAATCTGTTCTTTTATTTCATCTTCAATATTCTGGGGTTCTAAAAATCACAAAACATCACTAAGTAGAGCATATAAACATTACTATGGGACTTTAACACTATATAAAGACCATCCATGCATATAGATTACACTGTGTTTGCATAATGTCAGTTTCCTACATCTTTATGCTGACAAACATGGTAGATATTTAGAATTGGTTTTGTTTTTCAACCGAAACAGAGTAATAAAGTACTGGCAATAAGATTTTTTTTTAATTAATTCAGGTACAGATTTGTTCTATAAACAAAGCCTGACCAAGTACAAAAGTACTGGGTAGGAGAAATAGGGAAGAAAGATGGAAGGGACCACACTAATCAAGATGCAGTGGACTCGTAAACTGACATGAAACTCATTTGTGTAACTATTTTAAAATATTTTTTTAGAAAATTTTAAAGGGATTCAGTTTCTATCTAAAAAAAAAATCATACTAATGACTGACAGCAAGGATGTGGTACAAAAAATGTAGACTAAATAACATGGTCAGGCACAATACTCCCTGACAGCCAGGGGAAGAGGTGTGTTTGCTGGTGGGAGGCCCCATAAAAATCAGAATTGGATGAACATGTCTAGAAGTCTGGAAATATGGGTAGAAAATGACCACACTGGAACTGACAATCCTTTGACCTTTAGAGGACCACCTCTGACAGGTGCAAATGGCAAAATACAAAAGTAAACATAAATTATGGCATTCCATCCAACAATACCATCATGCTCATAGGATTGTCAGATACACTGCAACCTAACCCAGCAAGTTAGAAACAACTAATTACATTGACACTATTGCCAATTTTGCATAAAACACAATCTACATTGTGGATACAAGTAGTGCTAGACCTCACCTTGATATCATAAATGCTGCCACAGGAAATAACCACAGTGGCATCAGTTGTTTCAAAGAGCTTATTGTCAGTGTCAAAGGTGCAACAAGTTAACTTGAACTGTAGGCAGGGAAAGGTTAACTATAAATCATTTCAAACCATTTCTAAGGCATACATCTAGTACTTTTACAGATATTTGTTTCATCAACTATCTTTATATATATATATTGTGGTACAATTATTCCGTTCCTTGATGAATTCCAAATACTACAAATGCTGAGAACATCAGCCAGGAAGGCAGGAAGGGAATCTAGCAGATGACAACGCTATACTTTGGATTAACTCTTTAATGAATCCCCACCCTAAGTGAATATCTAAAATCCAAGAGCTACAGAAATGGTTCCTCACACCATGGGGCCATTCAGATACTAGAATGACATAAGCTCCATCACCCTAGCAGCTATTCATTTTCCATGATTCTGTAAATGTTCTTCCTCCCTGCTGGAGAGGCTAAGTAGAGGTAGAAGCCAGACAACAGTGGGTTAAAGGGTAAACAAAGGAGGAGGCTGCAATGCTTGATAAGAAATGTACTCATTATCTTGCCCATGTAATTGTAACCCCTCTGTACAGTATGTTCACAAAAAAATAAAAATTAAAATTAAAAAAAAGAATGAATGGTAAACAAAGGGAAAGGTCAGTTGTAGAGTCTTGATTTTAAAGTCCGACTACTAGGGAATGGATTAAATAGCACATAGGGGTCAAGAAAGGATGGAGGGCTTTATTTTATTATTATTGTTGTTGTTATTGTTGTTAGTGCTGGTCCTGGGGCTTGAACTCAGGGTGTAGACAATATTCCTGAGTTTTTTTTACTCAAGGCTAGTGCTCTACCATTTAAGCCAAGTCCAATCCAGCTTTTTAGTAGTTAATTGGATGAGAGTCTCATAGACATTTTTTTTTTTTGCCTAGGCTGGCAAAGTAGGTAGGATTCCAGGTGTGAGCTATCAATACCCGGCTATTCATTATATATTTAAGAGCGTTACAGAACTGTGTTTACACAGTAAGTAGAGACACAAAGAAAGAGAATCTAAGGATTCAGAAAGAGAAAATTTAAGATGGCAACATTCATGCAAAAAGAAAATTTCCAAGAAGTTGATATGGTGGGGGAGGTTAATAATAAACCATAGGGGCAAATAATCAATATCTTGTGAAGATATTAACTATAAAAAGGACAAGTGGGGCGGACATGGGATATGTCAGTGACAGTACTAAAGTTAAAAATAAGACTTTCCAACTACAAACTTATTTAGTACAAAAGTAAAAATGTTAAATTCAAAATCATTTATAATAAACTGCCCTATGACTATAAATTGATAAACATAAAACTTAAGAGCAACATACTGATCTTTCAAAGAAAGAAAAATCAAATCATATTCATTACTGTGGACCTAGTGCTTAAGATATCAGTAAATATGTGGTGTCATACATAACACCTCCAATAGATGGCATAACAAAACCAATTTTTTTTCTTTTTCGGTTAGTCGCAGGGCCTGAACTCTGGGCTGGGACACAGTTCCCTCATCTCTTTCAGCTCAAGGCTAGCACTCTACACTTGAGCCACAGCTCCACTTCCAGCTTTTTCTGCTTATGTGGTGCTGAAGAATCGAACCCAGGGCCTCATGCATGCAAAGCAAACACTATCACTGAGCCACCTTTCCATCCTGAAACCAATTTTCTTTACAATCTATTAAAAATGAAGAAACTAAAGATGCTTTATAATATTCTGATTATGACATGACAGTAACAGATTAAAACTTCACATACTAATAATTAAAATATTCAAGATTTCCCAATGGGTCATAGTGTCTTGAATATCTGTAAATGAGGTGAACTGATCCACAACTCTCTATAGAACATAATCAAATGGTAGTCTGTGATACTTTTGATATATACACAGAACCCCAATATAAAATGTAGGGGTTCAGGCACTGGTGGTTCACGCCTAAAATCCCAGCTGAGGGAAGCTGAGATCTGAGGATCAGAGTTTGAAGTCCACCCAGGAGAAGACAGTGAGACTCGTAGCACAATTAAACACCAAAAAAGCTGGAAGTAGAGCTGTGGCTCAAATGGTAGAGTGCTACCCTTAAGGAAAAAAAAGGGGGGCTTAGGGACAGCATTCAGGCCCTGAGTCGAGCCCTAGCAAGGACTAGAACAAAAAAACAAACAAACTAACAAACAAAAAAGCAGGGGACACTAATTACTCCTATGTTATAAAATTACATGGCGAATGCTGGCAACCCTGGTGTAGAACAGGTGTCTACTTTTACTTTCAATGTAAGGTGTGCTACAATTCTGCTAGAAGTGGAATCATGAAATCACATTTTTTTCTGCTGTTGCTAGCCCTGTAATATTTAGCAACAAACAAGTGTGCCTCAAATACTCAATGTCAAACATTTAAACTACCCTCTGCAACTTTTTACTAGGAAAAAAAGGGGGGGCTTATTAGATTCTAGAAACAATTCTATGAATAGTGAGACACAAATTGTGGGAAATTGAATACTGTGTAAGCTGCAAAGAATACCTGTCAAGCCATGAGCACCCCTCAAGGCTTGGAAGGCACTTACCTGTCCCCACAGGGGCCTGATCCTCTGGCTCATCGTGTGTCTCAGCCTCCTCTGGTGGGAAGGTTGACTCAGAAACAGATCTTTCTTTAAGTCCTGCATTTTTTATTCACAAAATTAACTTAAGTTTTTAAATCTTTTTTTGACATTAAATCAGGAAAAAGAACACTCAAAACATTGACTCAGTGGTGCTAGGTAATTCATATTTAAGTAGCAAATAGTCTGCTCTTTAACTTCCAACCAGCCTTTTAATATCTCTAAATTAGCTTCTCTTTTAAAAAGATAACAATTAATTATTGAGTTATTCATGGAAAACAGTCAGGACTAAACTTCCAAAGAGAAATGTAGTGAGTCCAAGCTCCTTCTGTGTTTGTGACTAATGCACTCTATATATTTTCACTTAAATGTTTATTATTCTTGAAAACTACAAATAGCTACAAATAAAAAATCATGTATAACTCACTATAATTTTCTTGAGGCTATCTCTATACATAATCATATAACCTTATAAAAGTTAAAAGATATGAAAATCCTTTCTTAAAAAAGTACAATGGAAAATAATATACTGGAATTAACATGAATACTAATTTTGAAATAAACAATACTAGTTATTTGAGCACTAAGATGTGTCCTCAACTATAACTATTTAAAAACTAATCTGGGATAAAGAGCCTGCCTCCTGAATCTTTTACTCGTGTAAAGCAGGTTTTGAACTCTGTGCACAGAAGTGGTCTGCAGTGAAGGGGTCTAGACTGCACAAAGAGGTTTGCTTTGAACATGAAGCACTTTGTACCACTATTAACATGTATTGCTCTAATCTGGAAAATTCTCATTTTAATGTCTTTTTTTTTTGTTCTTGGTATTTTTCCATATCATTCTCACTTCCTGAGTAACCAGGATTACAGGCATAAGCCACCAGCACCCAGCTTCTCTTTGATTTTATCTCTTCACTTTTCACTCAGTGACAGCATGCTGCCAAATTCCTCTTCCCATCTTAGAGAGATTGACCCTGGGATAGACATCCACCATACGACTTCTACCTCCTCCATTCATGCATTTCCAATACCACACGCACCCAAAGCTGAACACCAGATACGTTAAGTGTAAATCTATTTGCAAATGGATTTCTAGAGGATTATATAAAACATCCACCATCTAAATTGTCGTTCTGTTTCTGGGAGTTGTTAACAGGTAGAGACGAAGACCTCTTCAAATACTTCCCATTTCTAATATACAATGACTATTCAGTCACTTCTGATTTGAACAATCTAACCGTGCATCCCTCAACAGTTACTGGGCAAGTTTTGCTGAGTGAATAGAGGAAAGCCAAAGAATCTTTGAAATCATGGTTTATTTTTGCCCTCTCTCAAAACAGCATTACCACTTGACCACTTGCTGAAGGGCTGTAGGAGTCCAGTGATGTTCATCTGCTCTGCTACTCTAAACCACTAGAGTGTACCTGCAGGCCAGGCCTTCTTATTACCCTGAATGGCTAAGAGCTGTGGAATAAAAGGCTTCCCATTAGTTTTGCTACTATTTACCAGAGTCATCTCTCTGGTCCAGTATCACAAATCCAGTTTGCTCAGGACAGCCCTAATTACTCTCAACAAAGAAAAATTAGTACAATCCTTCACTAACCCCTCCCCCACACACACATACACACACACACACACCAAGCTTCATGGGTAGCAAGCTCCCTGAGTGGCTGACGTTATGAAATATTTTCACATCAAATTATATTTAAATTTCTTGAACATGTCATTTATACTGGGCTTGAAGAAAGATTTCACTTAAAAGGAAAGGAAAGGCAGGGATCAAAGAACCAAGTACTCATTACCTGATTCAGATAACGGTAACCCCTCTGTATAACCACCTCTATAGTAACAATAAAAATAAAATAAAATAGACATTCCAATGCTAAAAGTGTTGCTTCTGAGTAGACCACTGTTTAAACATACAATGTCCCAAAGGGTTGGCTAAAATGATTTGTCTTTAAAATTGAAAAGACAAAAAATAAGGACCATTAAATACAAGGAAGTAGAAGCTGGTAACATGAAAAAAAATAGGTTGCAGTTTTCTTTTCTATTCAAAGTGGTAGTAGAATTGTAAACCTGCAAATACCTAGTCACAGATATTTCAGAGGTGAAATCAGCATAAATAAGGAAACAATATTTTATACATCAAAGATTCTTCAGATCATATTAATGCATCTTCTTTCCTCAATCCCTATAAACTTTTAAAATTGTAAACAAAAATTTACTCTAGTCTAAAACTGCTTTAATAATCCATGTAGAAGAAGTCACTCTAACAAGTGTTTATGATGCTACTGTAAAAAATAAAAATTACCATCCAAACAATACAAATGCAATGGGAGATAAAAATACTACACAAGAGCAATTCAGAGTCAAAGGAAAGGTTTTCAAGCTGGATTTATTAAGAAGTACAAAGGGAAAAGGATTCTGAGATTCTAAAATACTCAAAATTTCCATTTTGAAACAAGATATATCAGTTTACAAGTCTACAAGTTGACAAACCACCTTGCACAATGTGTTGAACAAGATTTATTACCATACAAGTGATTCAGACACTGTTTGCCCTCAGAAAGCAATCCCTGGGACAAACTTCTTTTAGACAAGATGATGTCCAGAGGCAAAAGAACCCTCTTGCTCTGCTGCTTTCTCAGACCAGAGGAAATCCTCCAGATGTTCCCAGTAGCTTTGACTTCCAGTTTGAAGTCAAAGCACAACTGTAACCTAGCAAGAGGGGCAAAATGACCCACCATGGCTGCCTCATCCTTCTGGGTTTCTTCTCAGGCTGAATATTCCAAGTTTACCACAACAGCAACATGTGATAGGGAAAGTTAATCCATTGCCATGATTTTATCACGGCATAAAATCATATACCATGATTTTAGTTCTACAGGCTCATAGGATAATAAGAACATTTTAACAGGTTGAATTTACTAGCTATATAATTATTCCTCTAGTTTTAATTAAAAATGTATTAGTAAGTCAACGTTGCAACTATTCCCAGTAGTCTTAATCATTCACACAATTACCCTGGTTCCATGATTAACTTACTTTATTATTCTCTGCTGCCCAACTACATCTAACTAGAATGAACAAATGTAGCTCTCCCCGTAAGTGCTTGTGAAAATTTCTTTAGCATCTGAAATGGAGGACACTGTTCTACAATAAATGAACATACAAAATACCTACTTTCAAGAAGAGGGAGTCAGTTAAAACAAATTTACGAGTTGATCAGACAGAGGATGTGGACAGGAAGGAGGGCCACATATTAGGGAAAGGGTAGAGTCTGTGTACAATAAATGTGTGAAGAAAGGGCACACCAAATGCATTTCAACAGACTTCTGTGGGAATGGGCCAAGAGTTCTGTTGGCAGTTTTCCAGGTAAAGGAAAGGGCAAGCACAGAATTTCTCAGCTGGAATAGTGCATGGTTTGGGAAGCAAGAGGCCATGCAACAGGAAAGAAGTGGGCCAGAGAGTGGGTACCACAGACACCCTGAGGCCCTGGGACACTCAGAGGGAATACAAAGGACTCACTTTTCCCAAGAATTACATTTACCCACTGAACCTGTAAACACTGACTCCAGGGAACAACCTCCTCCTCCATGGATAGCAGTGTTCAAGTCCCTTCCCTAAAATGACAGTATCTGTGTATCACCCATACAATCATCTACAGATACTTGTTGATACCTAATAAACATAAATATTAAGTAAAAAGCTGTCAGACTATAGGATTTAGGAAATAATAACAAGAAAAAAGTTCATTTGTACATGTTCAGATATAGATTCTTTCCCCAAAGTTTTTCAACTACAGTTGGTTGAATCCATGGATTAGGAGCTGGAAGACATAGTGCTGCAGATAGAGAACTGACTGCATATGAAAACTCTCCATCAGTGAAAGCTGGAAATTGTTAGCACTCTGTCACAGGATTTCATAAAATATCTCATAAAATGCTGCCTTATTTTTAAATATAAAAAAATGAATCAATGTTTATTTACCAATTCAATGGTATACACACAGGAAATTTCTGGTCTTACCAATCTAGAGCATATGAGCTCCTGACATTCTTATTAAGGGTAAATACTCAGAACAGCTACTGCATCCCATTTAAATCATCTAACAATATACCAAAATGTCCCAGAAAAAGGCAAGAGATACATGAGACCTGAGAAATATCCTATCAATACACAAGAAAGGCACACAGGAACTGATCCTGCTCATCCATGTCAGACTTGCTTATTCAACCAGTGAAAGCAGATCTCAGTAAATAAACCATCAGCAGTCTCAGAACTCGTCAAAATGCTTGAGAATACTGCAAACAAAAAAGCTAGCCCATGATAAAAATAAGGAAATATTTTCCAAAGCATCTTTACATGGCCCAAGGTGGACAGATTTCAAATGATGTGTTGTAAATCATACAATTAAATACTGACTAAAAGAAAAGTTCTTAAGAATCTGCTTTCAGGATCTACAGGGGCTCTCCACTTGATTGAAAGGAGTACATTCAACTTGAACACCGTGCAAGAGTTAAAGGACGCACAGCATGCATGTTCTCAGCACTGGAATCTAGCTGACAACCTTTGAAACTCATCAAAGGTGGCAATTTGACACCCCACTACAATGTGGGTTTCCACAAATGCAGAAAAGTGATAAAACAATGCCTTTTAAAAGCGCTTTAAGAATTAAGATCATGCCAGGCGCTGGTGGCTCACGCCTGTAATCCTAGCTACTCAGGAGGCTGAGATCTGAGGATCGAGGTTCAAAGCCAGCCCGGGCAGGAGAGACCGTGAGACTCCTATCTCCAATAAACCACCAGAAAACCGGAAGTGGCGCTGTAGCTCAAGTGGTAGAGCACTCGCCTTGAGCTGAAGAGCTGAAGGACAGCGCCCAGGCCCAGAGTTCAAGCCCCACGACCAACCAAAAAAAAAAAAAGAATTAAGATCATTTCTATCTAGTAACATATTCTTTTGAAAATTATTTTTTCCTGTATTTCTTCTGAAGAAATGTACTTCCCTCTCCTTGACACCCAGCTATAAGAACAGTTGCAGGCAACTTCCAAGGCAGTGGAA